AAAATCAGTGGGGCGTGGTGGTGCATCCCTATAATCCCAGCTATTCAGGAGACTGAGGCAGGAGAATCACTTGAACACAGGAGGCAGAGGTTGCAGTGAACAGAGATCATGACACTGCACTTCAGTCTGGGTGACAGAGTAAGACTCCATCTCAAAATACAAAAAAACCCTATCTTTACAAAAAAATTTTTTGTAATTAGTCAGGTATGATAAGTGCACACTTAAAGTCTTAGCTGCTCGGGAGGCTGAGGTGGGAGGATCCTTTGAGCCCAGGAGTTCGAAGCTGCAGTGCCATACTTGTGCCATACTCCACTCCAACCTGGGACAAATCAAGAACCTGTTTCTAAAAAAAATAATTTTTTTAATTAAAAAAAAAAAAAAAACTGACCGGGCATGGTGACTAATGCTGTAACCCCAGCACTTCAGGAGGCCAAGGCAAGAGGATCCTTTGAGCCCAGCGGTTCAAGGCCAGCCTGGGCAACAAAGCCAGACCCTGTCTCCACAAAAAATAAAAAATTACCTGGGCATGGTAGTGTCCACCTGTAGCCCCAGCTACTCAGAAGGCTGAGGCAGGAGGATCACTTGAGCCCAAGAGGTCAAGGTTACAGTGAGCCATGTTTGTGCCACTATACTCCAGCCTGGGCGACAGAGCAAGGCCCTGTCTCAAGAAAAGAAAAAAATTAACCTAAAAAGGCAGAAAGTAAGGGAAAGCAAGACAGATAATGGCCAATAAACTGGTATGGTGATGAACTTTCTTCATACCTTTCAATAATTTTCTTACTGGGGCCTGTCATAGAGGAGTCAGGAAAGTTGGATTTAAAAGAAGACAAAAACAAAAACAAACCCAGCTGGGTGCAGTGCCTCACACCTGTAATCTTAGCACTTTGGGAGGCCCAGGCGGGCAGATTGCCTGAGGTCAGGAGTTCAAGACCAGCCGGACCAACATCATGAAATCCCATCTCTACTAAAATTACAAAAAAATTAGACGGGCGTGGTAGCGGGTGCCTGTAATCCCAGCTACTCGGGAGGCTAAGGCCTGAGAATCGCTTGAACTCAGGAGGCAGAGCTTGCAGTGAGCTGAGATTGCACCACTGCACTCCAGCCTGGGTGGCAGAGTGAGACTCTGTCTCAAAAAAGAAAAGAAAAGAAAAGAAAACCCTCTGTCTACCTGTCTAGTTTCAACAGCTTTTTTTTTATCAGCTGACCCCACAAGTAAAATTTTCCTGTTAATAACCTACATAGGGAGCAATGCAGTCATGCTGGCTATCAGCATTTCAATTCCTAGGTGCCCAACACAGCCCTAAGTGCTAAGAGACATATTTAAGAAGAAAAAAAAAATTGAGGATTCTGGCCTTGAGTAACTTATTTGGTTGAAAAAATAATCATGAAAATTAAACCTTGAGCTTCAAGGTAGTGATTAAAAAAAAAAAAAAAAAAAAAAATACAGAATATGTAGATGACAGAAATTTAAAAGAAAAAATTGCTTTTTGTTTTTAAGAGACAGTATCTTGCTATGCTGCCTGGGCTACAGTATAATGGCTATTCACAGGCAGGATCATTGCACACTACAGCCTTGACTTCCTTAAGCGATACCCCCACCTCAGCCTTCTGAGTAGCTGGATTACAGGTAGGTGCTGGCAAAAAATGGAGATTTTATTGTGCACAGCCTATTCAGGTAAGATTCCTTGGGAAGAAGACCTAAAATAAGATCCCAGAAAGTCCATTTATTCTCAATTGTGGTTTAATGACATTAAAAAACAATAACAAAGGTTCTCTTTAGTCACAGGATTATCCCAGGGAAAAAACCAGGAGAAAGAAAATCAAAGAGTTACCAGTGTGTCTCTTTTTTTGAGACAGAGTCTGGCTCTGTCACCCAGGCTAGAGTGTAGTGGCTCAATCTTGGCTCACTGCAACCCTCACCTCCCCGGTTCAAGCGATTCTCCTGCCTCAGCCTCCCGAGTAGCTGGGATTACAGGTGCCTGCCACCACACCCAGCTAATTTTTGTATTTTTAGTAGAAACAGCGTTTCACTGTGTTGGCCAGGCTGGTCTTGA